GCAAGGAGTCGAGGGAAATCAAAGATGAACGTGCAACATCAAAGGCCGCCAGCGACTTGTATGTTTTCATTGCTTCAAATTGGAAAATGTCTTAGCATGGAAAATATTTGGTTATCATTGGGTAAATAAATGCGGGATAACAAGGCAGATGGGGCTGGGATGGTTAGACTGAGCCCGAAAGGAGGAACTTGGGAACACTCTTGGGTAAATACGAAGAGTAATTGGTCCCTGCACTTGGGAAAACTCTCAGCTATAGTTATTAGATTTTCCATTAACCTATCCATAGCCAACTTTCAACCCGCTTCTGTCGGATTCTTAAGACCAAATTGACACAAGTCAAAGGTGTTTTTTTGGCAAAAGGACGAACCCGAAACTCAGGTGCTGTTTTGATTTTGGAAAGCGACTTGCTGTTGTCCTTTTGGCCCGTTGCCCGCTGGCAGTTCCTATAGACGGCAGCATAGATCGGAAGGTTAGTGTTAAATGCCGGCGATTTGCACCAGCAGCGCACCGGAGGAGGCAGCAGGAATCGGAATAGGAAATCAGGCCCGGGAAGAGAGAGGGAGAGAATCCAGGGGGATCCACGCGGCAGGATGCGCCTGCCTGCCTGCGAGATGATGAGCCTCGAGTAAGGATGGATGGTGACATAAAGGACTCGAATGGCACCCGCTGACTCTGACATCCCGACGACAGCAAGCAGGCCAAACTCAGCTGCTGCTGCTGGTATCTCGTGTTTCTTGCCGTTGCGATTTGTCCTTGGGCCGCTGGCAATTCGTCCTTGAGCCGGGACGACAACGATGTGTGGCCAACGTAAATGGCATATTTTGGCCTCTCCTGGTTAACCGTACGCATTTCGGGCAGAAACTTTGGGATCTAACGCAAGACTGTGGCCATAGTATGACCTTCAGCTGGAGGCCTTCGGAGATCCTGTCGCGATCTTTGGTCACAGTCACGATATGTTAACTAATCTCAAGTTTGCTGTTTATAATTTTTGGTTTTTTGGTTAGCACTTCAAGGACGAGGGCTGACAAGGCTTTATTGGTTACAGATTTCCGGGAACTCATTATGCCTGAATTATTTGATCGACTTTATAAGATTTTAACGAACGTCCGCATATCGATGCATGTTATCCAAAAGATCTTTGGCAACATCCCGTGGCGAGTCCTGCAAACGGCTATCGCCCAATCTCGACTTTCGCTTTTCATAAACTCAGCTCATTTTGGCATTGCGGCTTTGGGTTTTGGTTTTATTTCTGTGATATTTTTCACGGCTCAATGGCCTTCTGAACAATCAAACTAATGGGACACCGCAAAAGCAGGGGCAGGGAAAACGCTGTGTGCAAACCTCTTGTGTTGGTCAAATTCATTTCCACTCGAGTACGTGCAAAGCTCAAATCTGTTGCGGAAATCATTTAAACGGAATTAATGCCCGAACAAAACATGTGAAAACTATCGCAGCCAGGCGGGGAAGCATTGCAAATCGAACAAATATATTTCTTTTGATTCCGTACTTGGACTTCGTTGGGCTTTCCCCTGTTTCTGGGCTCACAAATGTCGGAATATCGAGATGGCGAAAAGGTAGAGTAGGGCGTGTGCAAGCCTAGCGGGTAGCTCATGAGTCGACTCCTGGCTAAAAATGCTCGTCAATATATTTTGAAAAGGGGAAGCACATGGCAAGCCCAAATAAAGCGGGAGATTTGAGTAATTAGTTCGGTGGTTAGAGTGTTGAAAGAAGAAACATTTTGGCCTTTGTCCGCAAACACCTGTTCTGTAATGGTAAATCACTCATCTCCAGAACCTAGGATTATCCACAAACTTCATCTGATTGATAATAAAATTAATATAATCTCTGTAATCTCAGTCCTCGCCTTGCATTATGCCTCATTATCCCCCTAAATGTCCTTTTTTAGCAGGGGTAAGTAAATCAGATTGCTGCCGCCACTTGTACGTCGCCGCATTGCACTTAACGAGGAGCTCAGAGCTCAGTGGCACGAGGCACGAGGAAGTCCCCATGCCCCCGCTACATGTGTTTAAAAACTATATAGAAAACATCCTTTTGGCAGGACACGGACGGAGATGCCAGTAAAAAACTGGCAGGGAACACTGCCAGCACGTGACAATTGCGTCAACAGATTTTTCGCTGAGATGAGCACAAAATTGTTAGCAACAATGGCACAACAACAAAAAACGTGAGTCAAGAATGGGAAAACGGCAGGAAACAGGGGGGCGGCTGGGCAGAAAGGGATGGGGCTCTTCAACCCCCTCCCGGCCAGGAGAAAATAGCAAAGACCTGCTGTTGTTGCCGTCTGTAGTTGTTGCTATTGACAATATTTATGCAGCAGCAGCACCAACAGCAAAAAGAAAATCTCTGGTTTGTGGGCGGGTCGGAAAATCTGGTGGGCGGAGGGTGGCAGGCCCCAAAGGCGAAACTGTGGTCCTCGTCATTCCTCTGTTTGTTTTTGCATTTTGGCTACATTTTACAGCTTTTGTTGTATAATTTGGACCCGCAAGGCGACAAACTCGAGGAGCTAAAAAACAAAGAAAATTAAAAAAGGAAAACAATTTGGATTACCCTTAAGTGTCTCGACTGAGAAGTACCGTTGAAAAGCTTACTAGCAAATCTTTAACAAATTTTAAAGATTTTTAACTTTAAGATAATTATTATTTACCAAATCATTGTCAAATCATACTTTCCTTTTCTAAAAAACATGATTTTTGAGAATGAGCCTACTAAAACCTCCAGAGAGGCACTGAAACCTTTCTAGTTTTGAAGCAGCTGATATACCCTATACCCTCCAGGGTACCTCCAGCTCTCTTCACCGATCGAACTGCTCTTGATGAGGCTCCTTTCCGCTTCCTCCTTTGGCAACGGCGAAAAACTCGAGTCTGCGGTAGGTTGGCCCTGCTTCTGCTCCTGCCTGGTGCCTGGTCCATGGTCCTTCACGCCGGATCTGTGTGGTTGTAAGGTGGTTTTTCCACTGCAGGTTGGGGGTTGGGCTGTTTCCGAGTAGGGAGAGGACATGGGGGAGGGTCCACAGCACCGCAGTACGTGACGAAGAACAAAAGAAGGCACTTGGGCACTTGCATGTTTCCTGACGGCGGCGGAGGTCCTTTCGCTTGTGTTGTGTTTTTTACGGAAACTTACTTGCCTCCCCTCTTGTTGTATCCACAAAAAAGCACGCTTATGATAATAATGGCATTATGTATTGTACACCATGTAATAACGAACGGAATGTTGACAGCCGCAGTCTTTTTTGCTGCCTCTTTTTGCTGCACGAACTTCTCTAACGAGCTGGAGGCAAGATTGATAGATGGGAACCAAGTGGGAAATATAGGTCTTAGTTCGGTGAAGTTCCCAAAAACAAATTTATAACTGGACAGAAACTTTTATATGACCAAAAATATTTCCAAGATAATTAAAAGAAGAATCTCAAAGAAGGTTTTTCATTCCCAGAAACTAACCATAACAATCCCATTTGCCGCAGCAGGTTAATACTTTTATTGTTTCGGCAAAAGTAAATATTGACTTTTTATATTTGCGAAAAACATTCGAAAACCACAAAAAGAGTTTCGCATTTATTTATTCAGATTCAAAGAAAACGATAAACCAAAAACAAACACAAATTGCCCGCCAGCTCGCAGAGTAAACACACAGAAAATAATCCAATGGACCAGAGTCAGGTAGGACTGAATCTGTAGAGATCAGGATGGGTTCTGGTGGGCAGCTGGTGGGCGTTGCTACTTGCTAAACCAAAAACCAAACAATTTGCATTCCCTTCCTAATGAAAGAACAATATTTATTCCGCACACAAAAACATTAGAATTAAATCAAAATATTCAGAGAATAAATCGGAGGGATTATATATTAAAAAAGGATCATTTTTAAACATAAGAAAATACTTTTCAAATTTATATTGCATAGCTCAACGTATATTAAACTAAACCATAATCTGTAGCCATATTGAAAGCCACTAAATTGGGGCCTCCCCCATTGGGCCAGAAACCAATTGGTTGGAACATAAAGTCCAACAACAAACAGAGCCATAAACATTCCCATTACAAATTAACACTCCATATATATCCGACATTCTGAAGTGCCACATAATCCAAGCCGTTCCCCCGTCTCCTACTCCGTCTCCGGTCACCATATGGCCGCGAACAGGAAGCTAATCCTGCTCAGCGATATATCAACATATTTATGGTAAACGGATCAGAGGGCTTAGGCCCACACATTGGAGGGTAGCCAGGGAAGAGGGGAGCAGCAGGGGAGCTCATCCATATCCATATGGTCCCCTTCGGTATTTATAGGCCCGACTTCAAGTGGCGACTAACCGCAGAAACTCCATAAAATTTTATTAACACTCTTTCGGGAATTTAGTGTGACGAGCGACGGCTGCTTAGCACTTCGCTCAAAGTCTATTAATGTTTAATAAACAATTATTAGACAATCTGCATTTTTTTTGAAGCTCTCCAGCTTTTTGATCTCTCTCTCTCGCTGCTGACTCACTGAATCTCAAATGGGCGTAAAAATAAATACCAACTGCCTGTGTTTAGATCAAATCGGATAATTGCGCACTCGGATTCCCATGAATCATAACAATAACAATGGAGTCCCTTGAAGAATCCATCAGGGAACACCTTTAACTTCAAGATTGACAAGTCGCGAAGGAGGAGGAAGTTTGGGAAAGCACTTTGATGTCTAATGAACTCTAATTCGAAGCAGATTCTCTGTAAATCGAAACAAACTTCTTAATTCTCGTGAAACTTAAGCACTTACTGCACTTAGCAGGCTGTAATAAATGCTAATAAGGTTGAATAAACTTAAATTATCAAAAAAATAATTTCAAAATTAATTCTTTAATAATATACAACATTTGAACTGATAAGGCATTCAATTTCAAATTTGGCGGTCAATAGTAATAAAGCAGTTTATAATGCACTGCTTGCTTCCGAGCACTGCAATCGATGTGAAGCCAACGCTATCGATAGACCAGCAACAGCTGATCAACTTTTGAGGTAGCAAATTAAAGTGAAAACATTTTAATTTATTAATGAATTTAAGTGAAAAACAGGCAAAATGGAGCGTAAAGAAGTGGACACCCAACAGTTCATCGATCATGTGAGTGGAAAACACTGAAATTTCATAAGTAAGCACTGTAATTATCCGATTTTCGACCTCAAACAGACGCTGCTGGCCACAGAGCTTATGCGAGATCCAAATCACTTTATAATGGATCTGATAGATCACACCTACAAATCTGAGGGACCCACGAATCTAAGCACAAATCCCAGTTCCGGCAACTCCGAGAACGGCGTGGGCTACGTGGAAAAGGAGTCGCTGACCCCGGAGCTGAACTTCCACAATACCATCTTTCAATTTGTAAACAAATCCTCGCCGGAAAACGATGTTGTACCCCACCAGCCAGATGCTCAAGCCACTTTTCCGGCCATGGCCATTGAGCCCACGGTTCCCATCGACGTTTCCACGGGTCTGCACGAGGACGAGGATCTTCTGTATGCCCACAACAACGCCTCCTGCACGAATGCCCGAAAGGTTTTGCCCCACAAGAAACGCATTTCTCGAAAACTCAAGGGCAACATAGACGCTGATCTCGAGCAGCATAAGCATGTCCAGGACGTGGCCCCCGCCTCGCTTTACAGCTGCGAAATCTGCGGCTACGCCGTTCACACCCAACTGGACTTCTTCGCCCATCTCAAGCAGCACTACGAACCCACCGTTCTGGAGCAACGTACGGTAGTCCAAGATACCCAGCAACAGCAGCAGCAGCAAAAGAACCACTCGACATGTGTGGGCTGTCTACCCAGGATAGGGTTAGTTGGAAATCTAAAACTTTCTGCTGCTGATAATAATATGAATTTCCTTTTTTCTCCCGAAGCTGCAACAGGAACAAGCCAAACTCGACCAAGTCTTTCACGATGTGCAGCTGAACTTCGAGAACTTTCACAACATCGGTCACCATGTGGGCGATGTGGCCAACGTCGGGGTCAACATGGTGCTGCATGGGCAATCTACGGATAAGCTTAATCCCGTGGTGGTCAACACCAATAGCACACCGAATTCTGTGCCCGTGGTGGACGACGTGGAGTTCAGTGATACGGAGGATATGCTCGAGGGCATCCGCAATGTGGTGGACAAGGTTTCGATTGAAGACACCTGCGATGAGCTGGTGGATCTTGAACTGACCTCCAGCGGAATGACGGCTCCTTGGTTCAACAATAACTTCAGGGACATCACCTTTCCGGCTCTCCTCCTGCCAGGAGAACCTCCGCCAGCTTCTGCAGAACAGGCTGCTCCACTGCTCAAAGAGAATCCCCATGAGACCGAGCACATAGCTTTGGATTTCCTCAGTCCCGAAAAGGGGGAACCTCAAGATGAAGTTAAAATGAAGAAATCCCTATCTAAGGTCAGCGAAGCCAATGGGCAAACCTTGTTGGTTGTACCACCAGCCTGCCAGACGCCACCTCCTCCATCTGTTCCTCCACCCAATTCTTCGATAGAGCAACTGCAGAGATCTCCTCTCGTGCTTAATGAGCCCTTTAAATTGGAGGGAGATGATATGACAGACAGCAGACCAGCTTCACCCTTTGAAGAGGAGGATCCTGATGCCGAAGAGAACAATGAGAGCTTTCCGATGGAGGACTTGGATGCGAATCTATCCGAGGAGACGGACAGCAAGACGAGGAGAAAACACTTTTGCGATAAGTGCAACCGGGACTTTAACTCGTACAATGCCCTGAAGTACCACCAGTACACGCACAACCAGCAGAGATCCCACAAATGCGACAGCTGCGAGAGATCCTTCTACACACAGAGTGCCCTGAAGGCCCACGAAAGGACACGTGAGTCTTAGTCAACAACGTGTCAGAGTCAGAACTAATCCTTGATTTCCTTTCCTCTACAGATTCCGGGGTAAAACCCTTTAAGTGCGATAAGTGCGACTTTAGGTTCCGGCAATGGGGCGACCTGAAGTACCACATCATCTCGCGGCACAGCGACATCAAGGCGCACATGTGCGAGTTCTGCGGAAAGAGCTTTTCCCGGCGCTATTCCCTTGTCTTGCACCGCAGGATCCACACCAGGGAAAGGAACTACGCTTGCCAGTTTTGTGACAAAACGTTTAGAGCAAGCTCCTACCTGCTCAGCCACGTCAAAGTGCACACCGGAGAACGGCCGTATGAGTGTTCGATATGCGAAAAGAAGTTCCGGGTGTCAGGGGATCTCAAGCGACATTCGCGGATCCACGATCCGGGCAGAGCTAACCAACCACCTGTGGAAAAGGTGAAAAAGAAGAGGGCAGTGGCTAGCAATAAACTAATGCCAATCGAAGAGGATGACGATGTGGCCACCAACATTCAAAACAATAAGTCTGACGCCTTGAGCGACCAAACTGGGCAGAAAACTCTGGGCCTATAGCTATGCTGTGCCAAGGTTTCTTCAGAATAGGATTATATATCTATCGTACGCATTTTGTACAAGTTAAGTTTAGAAATAGGAACTTTGAGTTGATTTAGGAACGAGCATCAAGTCTTACCGAATTCTGTTTCACAATGAACTCCTTAATAAATCTGTAAATTATTAAAGATACAGCACTCATTGCCCTTACGCGACATAAGATTCCACTGTGATATCTGCAAAGTGAAAATAAAATCCAAGCATTTCTATTGCAGAGCATTTCTTTATTATTTCTCATGTTTTCGTCTTGTCATCTTCATTTCATTTTCTTTCGTTTTTCTCAAATGTTTTGTTTTCATACTTCTTTCTCTCTTTTGCACTTGTACCGTTCGTCGACTTAATTGTTAATGAGTAAGTATATATATATATATTAAATATATATTGTTATTGTTAATGTAACTATGTACAACACAAGTGTCTGGGCGCCTGTCAGTGTGCCCAAAACGCAATGAAATCTTTGTATTTGTTTACAACATAATTTGTTTTTCTCTTTTTTTTAGATTTTTCATGTTTTTTGTTTTTGTTTTGTTTCTCAAAAATATTCAACATAAACGCCCCGCAGCAAAACATTCCTTTAGATCTGTGTTAGCTTTCCTCGGAATAGTTTTCCACCGCCTTAGAGCTTATTAACTAAAATCCTAGTATTGGTTGCTTCACCAGCTTCCTATCTTTTCCACGCTTTAATGTACTCAGTCCATGATATCTTCCGATTCTCCCTTTTGTTACACATATATAATATATTCATCTGTTCATACTTCTTTGTTACTTTTTAATTAATTAAAAATTACGAAAACTGCATTCCTAGTATCAGTATCATATCTGCACTGCCCGTCTCCCAGCCTGGTCCTACTAACTCCTCCATCAATCGGTTCCCCTCTATTATCATATATATTCTTGGTGTCTTGGTGGTGTGGATTATGCTGTCTTGGTAGGTTGAATGTTGTATGCTGAATGTTGCATGTTGCAAGTGTTGAGTGTTCGTTTGTGGGGTGAGTGAAACATTGGTTTAGTGGGCATGAGATGGTTGTTGAAAAAATTAGCATACGAAAATCCATTGACTACTTTTTGAGTTTTCAAGTTTTTGAGTTAACTGAAAGTCAGCCTGCCGTCGCCTTTTGTTAGTAAATATGATTTAAACTTAGAATTACATTGAATATTTTGCTCTGGCTGCATCGTTTTCTGGTCTTTACATATATATGGTACTTAAGAATGTATGTTTTGTTTAGTTTTGCTTGCTATGGTTGCACACATTTACTGCTTTTAGTTTTTCACTTTGAATTGAATATGGGAATATGGGTTAACCTGCTGCGATTTCTGTTCTCGGTTCGATATTTTCATTTTACTTGACAAAGAAATGTTTAATTATGCTTTACTAATACACTTATGGGCCTGCTAACTTCTTCCAATTGTTGCGCTTACTAGTCGTTAATCGTTAATCGTTAATCATCAATCATCAATCATATTGGTAAAACTTAAGAGCTTTAATCGTATGCGTGAATGTTGATGGCAGCTTTTTGGTTTTGTTTGTTTATCGTTTCTCTTAATTGCGGATAAATTGAATATTGTTTATAAAATAGCTCGCTATTTTATGTTGTACATTAAACACATATTTTAACTGTTTTTCAACTGCCGCCGCGACAGTTTCCCTCTCATTATACAAAAGGTTTTTGTTTGCGTTTGTTTGTTTATATTATTTCAGTTGTTGCTATTGTTGCTTCACATTGTTGCTGTTGCTATTTCTTCGTCCCAAGTGTTTGCTACGCTATTCTCCCTCCTCATTTCCCACTTCCCCTCTCTTCCGCTCTTCTTCGTTCTTCGTTCAATAGAAATATAATTCTTCTCTTTTTTAAGTTTTGAGTCTTCTGCCACATCACTACAAGTGTTTTTCGTCGGATTTTTAAAAAAATTAAAATACATTCTACTCCGCACTTTCTTCTGCTTCTTCTTCGTCTATCGATGGCATGCCAATTCTTCAAAAGTTTTTTGGTTTTCCCACAGAAATACAATATTTACAGTTCACAGTTTCCACCGGCTGGCTTTTCTCTTTACACACACCCAGAGCTTTCCTTATGCCTATTTTTAATCAACTTTTGTGATCCTTTGTCATACGGCTTACATATGATTTGTAATCTTTACACCCCCCGCGAAATCTCGATTTGTATCAACCATCGACCTTTGCACCCCGGAGCCTTTAAATCTATTGTTTTTGCATCAACTTTCGATCCCCGCTCACATTTTTGTTACAGTTTTTCAGTTTAAAATTGTGAAAAAATAGCTGCATCTATTGTAAATTTTAGGTTTCTCTTTGCTTTGTTTTGTTTTTGTTGGTTGCGTTAAAATTTGAATTACCGTTAGATTTATATAATTTGATTTGATGATATTTTCCTCTGCTTTTCTTTTACTTCATCTTCTGCTGTTTGTCTGTTTGTCCTTGGATCTGAATCTCGAATCTGCTGCTACTGCATCCGAACTGCTAGTTGGCCAGGTACTGCAACTAGTCCCTAGGCACTCTAGCTTGCTCCGAATACAGTGGCACGTTCAGCGGTTGTTGGTTCGTATAAAAAGTCTTTGATTTGCCCCCCCATTCGTTGACCATCCTTCCTCCTGCTTCCACGTCTATCCGTCTGTATCTCTATCGGCTGCTCTGGTGTTAGCGTGCTCTGCATTAGAGACTAACCTGCTGCATCTTATCAAAATCTAAACACGGCCGATGCGGTCGCTGCAGTCTCTGGGTAGCGACGGCGGTGACGTTAGCGGCATTTCCGGCGGAGTTGGCAGAATTGTGTGTCGTTGTTGCTGAGACTGCTGCTGCTGATGATGATGATGGTGATATTGTTGTGGCGCCCGCGGCTGAACCACTGGCATTGTTACTGGGTCGCCGCCGGGGCGATATGGCGCAGTGGAACAGTTTCGCCGGCGGACTGACCGACCGCACCTCCATGTCCAAGCCGGTGGTGCTGGCCGGACTGCTCCGCGAACTGTTGTAATGAAAACTATACTTCGGCTGCGGCTGGTAAATGTGGTGGCTGCTGTTGCTCATCTTCAGCGAGCTGCTGCACGCCTTAATCACACTCGGCTCGTTCTCGTTGCCTCCGTTTCCGGTTCCGGTACCGCTGGCGTTGTTTCCCGCACCAATCTTAGCACACTTGCTGCTATTGGCCACCCCGCCACAGCCACCGCCACCGCCGTTGTCGCCATTCTCCTCGTTTACACTATTATCACATAATTTAATATTTTCGATGCCACATCGGGCCTCCGATAATATCAGTGGCGTTGTGGAGCGGAACATCATATGGCTACGATTTGGCTTGAATGCCTCCAATGGCGGCGATGTGCGAAAATTCACGGGCGTCAGGATCGGCTCCAATGAGTTGCGCAACTGTCAGGGGAAAAGATATGGGATTAAAAAATAGTTTTAATGTTAATACTTCAGATTCAGAGAGAATCTCAATCTCTTTTCCAATGCAAAACAAACCCTGCTGCATCGTTTATAGCCAAGTTGAGAATCTGTCCCACAATTTCACCAGAACCCACCTCATCATCGGAGCTATGGGCCAACGATCGCTTGCGATTCTCCACCATCAGCGTAGAGCTTGAACGCTTCGAGTTGGAAGTGGTGGCTCGCTCCTCGTACGGCGCCTCCGTGTCCAGCGAGGAGGTGCATACGCGATTCGAGATCCGGGAGGCACACGAGGAGACCGTGGCCGTCGGTCCGCCTGGATGCTGACCAGCCTGAGAGGACGGCCCGTTGATCACCTCCAACTCCTCTTCGGAACTGTGCTGGTCGTACATGAGATGGGCGCAGGATGACGACGTCTGCTGGTGACACATCATTGCAGGAGCGATTGGTTTTTGGCCAGCAACACCTAATCAAAAGGATTGTTGTTATTAATAAAAATTAAATATTGAATAATATTAGATTGGTAGTATTTTTTAAGATCCTGTTCTTGCCGCTTGGCACTTACTAGTTTCCATATCCACGTCTAAGTGACGTTGGTTTTCCACATCGAGGAGTTCACCATCAGATTCGGTGCCGGAGTCATTCGATTCACGCTGCGGGAGGAAAATTCGATTTTTTAATCATATACGTACATAAATCTTTAAATAAATAACTTCGGAGTCTTATTAAGTGTTTTAATTTAATATAAGGTTTTATATTTATGTCAAACTTATAATTTTTAATTATAATTTTTTTTTAATAAGAAATTGTAATAATCCCACCTTTTTGCGCATAAAATTTTTGGATGCCCTTAGTGTGTTTTCGCGATTTTTCTGCCTGACAAATTTTATCATGATTTTCTGCTTTGGCTTTTATTCGCTCCACATGCCACACGCACACAGCAACAACGATGCACCCACGCAGCGCACACACATACACGCACAGAGAAGAAAAACTTACTACGACGCCGCAGTCGCAGCCGGCGTCGCAGTCGTCGTCGACTTAGTTATTCTTCTCCTTCGCCTTCTGTTCCTACTACTATTACTACATACTACCGACTTTTTTGCCGTTGCGCTTTACACGCCGTTTCTATTTATACGCCTCCGCATGTATTTTTGTTTGTTATTTTTACGCGCTGCTTCGTTTTGCGATTCCGCTTTTTCTCTCCCACTCTCTTTACGCGCATGTAAAACGTAAGCGGCGCTTCCCTTTTGTGCAAAAATTTCAATCACGTTTACGTTCTCTCTCACTCTCTCTCTCTCAATTTTTTTGGTTGTAAATCCGTAGTTAACGAGTAACGGTGTAGCGGCGAGAGAGTTTCTGCTCTTTAGAACTTTGAATTTTGTTTGTTATATTATAACATGATTCATGAAAGTTTCGACACTTAACCGGTTATATCCGATGTTATTTTATATAGAAAAATCAATTTTGAATTTAGTTTAGTTTTCAGCTTTCAGTTTTTTATTGTGATTTGCAATCTCTCTTTCTTACAATCTCTTTTGCGCACACTTGGTCCTTACGCGTAGTACTCAAAACACCCGAACTCAAATCCCGAACGGAATATCCGCGCACCTTTCGCCGTAACTTATACAGCACGAAATTATCGATTTTTTTTTGGCACGGCCACGGGTACGGAAACCAGACGACGCGAAATCCGCAAATAAAAAAAACATCAGGCACACCGCACCACCAAAGGGTTAAGGCTCTACTTTTTCGGGTTTTTAACCCATAGAATTTTATTTTTAAACACTCCGTGCCATTAGCTTAGATCGTCTTTTCTTAAGAATTCCTAATTTCCTGGCGTTATGCAGTTGTGCAACTGTTTTGGATCCGCCTACGCTTGCTGACTTTTGCTGGTTACTACGGTGTTACTGTGTGTATCGGGTACAATCGGGTATATATCGCATATAGCCCACCGCCCGTCACCGGCTAACGTTGCGCTCCAACTGAAAACCCATTGCGTCCACAATGTGGCAAGGCAACACTGTTGTCTCGAAGTCTCTAAAAATCTCTGCGCTGGCGCTGGAGAGAGACCTCCGTACCCCATTCCCCTTTCCCGATCAAATAGCCACTGCGTGCAGCCCACGATTCTCTTCTCCGTTGCAGTTCCAGGGTTACCAGACAGAAGTTGGAAAACAAATTTACTTTGGACTTAAAAATACAATTTTAATTTTAAAGATTTAATAATTAAGCTCCTTAAAACATAAACATCTATGATTAGTGTTATAAATAATATAATTATTTCATACATAAAAAAAGAGCAAATTGTTGAACCAAAACCAAATAGATACTACTCAAGTTATTAAGTCAAGCCCCGATCGTATTACACAACAATGTAAGCCTTGTTTAATTGCTTAAGTTGCGCACTATAATTGATTGTGGATAATGGGCGTGTTGTAATTAGCCGTGCAAAATGAACATTCCCTTGCAAATTTCTTTAGCGCGATTTTCTTTTGTGTGCAGGCAGTTTTCCCATTCATTGAATTCTTTACCCATTCCCACCTAACAACTGGGCAAAGTCGCGTTCGCCTGGCAACCCTGGACGCACTCGCAAAGTGCACTTACTATACTTTTGATGCGATGCCCGTGTGGGCGCCCATGGAAAATTGGGGGGTGCCAGAGGGGCCTGGCGTAGTGCTGGTCGCTTTTGTACATGCGCGCTCAACTCGTGCCTCCAACAACGACGGCAAAGGTGCTGAACATAACTGTAGGGCCTTAGCGCCATCAGTCTGTTTTCAGAAAATCCATACAAAACTTAATATTAAAAGAAAAAGGAAAAAAAAAACATTAAAATCTTTTAACAAGGGCTTACAATATTGTCGCGCACCTTTTTGCTTGCAGACGGAAGAAGAAGCAGCTGGAGCGGGCAGGACCTATTCGTAGGACTATATGCCTATATATTCATGTCTATGAGTTGTAATGTGTGGCAGAAACAGAAGAGAAGAGGCGAAGAAAGAAGGGGAGAAGGAGAGAGGAACCGCGGCAAAAAGTGAAATAAGACGAAGCGTGCGAAACTCGTTGCAACGATGATATGGGAAATTGTTTGGAGCTCGCTTTTCGCCACCGAATGTGGAAAACATGGGGAAAACATGACATGGAAAACTACGCACGAACTGGTTTTTCGGCTGCTCCAGGCAGTTTTCTCAATTTTTGTTGTATAAATTTCTTGTTATTTTTTAAACAAAAGTTATATGTTGTTTTAATTATTTTTAGTGTCGACGAGTATGAAGGATTGGTTTTTATTCCAAGTATGATTTAGTTTGTATAGAAATATATTAACACTTTATAATTATATTTTTACCAACAAATGCTCACATTTCCACCTCAAAATTTATCATTTTTGTAGGTAGTTTAGTTTAACTGCTTTATTACCTCATGAAAATCCTATTTATTTATCGTACGGAACTTAAAAAAATATTTAATATATTTTACCCACTTTTATTTCGATTATTTTCCTAAAACATTTTCTGTTTCAAGTAATTGTTATTTTAATTCTTCTAAAGTTTTGGCACTTTTGGCAAACTCCCTCGTGAGCTTTTCAATTTGCTTTCAATTTTACGCGGAAAATTTTACTACGAGTCTACGTGCCACAAATACAGGCACACATCTGCTATCTCGCTCCCTGGCAAGTCCAAGTACTTTTGTTCCATTCATACCACACACACACAAGCGAGCAAACACACCTCTCTCTCTCTTTCGCTCCTGGAGAGAGCGTCTGACGTAGGTGGGCGGTGGGTGGAGAGGGATGGGGTGGTGCAGCCTTCAGCTTGAGTTCTAAATTTAGCACTTGCAACTTCAGCAGGACCCTCTCTCTTTTACAGTCACTCTTGCACACACTTAAGTACAACTGCCACCGTCACCGTTAGTCGAAAACTTACTTGATTCGCTCGCTCCTCTCCCCGTGCTTCAGTCTGCCTCTTTGGCTCTTGGTTTTCCTTTTGTTTGATCACAAAACTGTTTATTTTTTAGTTTAGTTACTTGTGTTTTTTTTTCGACTGTGGAAATGCAGGAAAGCCAGCGGAAAAGCGGACCAGCGGCGGCGAGTGAAAAACGATGAATGGCACATACTACACAAATTAAACAGCACGCGACGCGTTTTTGGAGAATTGACTAAACAAGCTCTAAAAGAGAAGAGCGAGCACGCGCGCACACTCACAATCTGAATGTCGATATACGCATATATCGATATCTTGCCAGTGCTGGAAATTATCGGTGCATGGGATTCCCGGGAAAATACAAATATGAATTTAAGGCTATAGAATTAAGCGCTTCTTATTGGAAACTTTGCTACAGTTACAATGAGACGAGACAAGTTTTAATATTTAAATTTCAATTATTTTTCATTTTAAATTTCTGTCAACGACTTATGAATTAGAAATAAGGATTTTTATTTATTTAATTTTTTCTGTTTTATAAGTTATTGAAAGCTACATATGTTTCAATATTTTTATTGTTTAGAAAACGGTTTTTGTATGATGTTTATGATTTGAATAAACTAGACTAACTTGTAATATTAATGTAATAAAAGAAATAAAAGATATTTTCAGTCTTATATTGGTGAGAAACTTGACTATTCTATAAGCGCGCACTCAAACCACGACGTACGCCCTAAGAATTAGGACAAGTAATCGTTAAATTCAATTTAAACAGATTTAGCCGTTCTAACCCATATGAGCTTAAATTAACAGATTTAAATTTGTTTTGGAAATGGAATACTTAAAAAAATCTTGTTTTTCCAGAGATAGGGGGACCCCCTAATCAATAAATAATATGTCGAATCAGCTAGAGTTCCTAGTAATTGATTAGGTTTATTGTGTTAAAAGAAGGAGATAAGACTTTAGATTAATTTACTTGATTAAAGAACATTAAAAAGCTTTCTTTAGGCTTCAAACAGCTATAGAGAAATCATGTTGCGATTCCTGTTAATATTTTCCTTGTTTTTATAAATACTTCATTCAGCCAAAGTGGCAATGAAGTCTGTACTCTTTTATCAATTTGCAATAATCTTGCTAGCCTTAAAGCTGATTCCCTTGCCATACGGTAATTGCTATTTATTACATTGAAGACTTTTTATGAATTGTTTACGTTTTTAACTGACAGAGAGGAGCAGAAACGTCAGGCGGAAATTTTGGAACGCTTGGATAAAAAGTTCGACCTTTGTATACCCAATGAATACCCAGAAAACTGTGCAGGGTCATCGAAGAGTAAACTGGTGATCCGTGTGCCAGGGCACAGTGGAGACCCCTTCGAGGTGGCCTGCGATCAGGAGAGTCACGGGGGAGGATGGACGGTTCTCATGCGCAGAAACGACGGAAGTCAGGACTTTTTCCTAGAGTGGAAGGACTACCAATAAGGATTAGGGGATCTGGACAATGAGTTCTTCATTGGCTTGGACAGGCTGCATGCGATCACTGCGTCGGAGACTCAGGAGCTTTTGGTACTTCTGGAGGATTATAAAGAAGACAATCGCTTTCAAATTTTCGATAACTTTACCGTCGGGTCTGAGGCTGATGACTACACTCTGGAATCCGTGGGATCATCCTAAGGGGACGCCGGAGACTCACTCGACTTTCAGCTGGGCATGAAATTCAGCACTAAAGATCGACAAAACGACATCAATGGAATGCGTAGTTGTGCTGTGTTATCCATGGGCGCCTGGTGGTACCGCAATTGTCACATAAGGTAAGTTACATTTTCGAAACTTCAATTTTTTCGAACTATTTTAATAATATTTCATTTAGATCATAAATCAGTTAAATAAAGAAACTAATCAGCTCTTATTTTTCCTTTTAGCCACTTATTCGGTTTATTTGGAGAAAACAAACATGCACAAGGCATAATTTGGAATACATTTGGATACAACTTTTCTAACGTTCCTTACAATTTGAAACGAGCTGCGATGCTTGTAAGGCTAAAGGGTCTATATCCAAATAGAACTTAATCAATTTTAACCGAAGACAAAACCAATATTTATATGCTAAGTTTATGTTGATTAATAAAAGAAAAGTTAAAAACATTAAAGTTTTTCATTAAGTTTTGCTTTATTTTCTGTTTATATACAACAACTTAGGGCTAATTCGTTTCGGCAATAGTTAATCGTAGGCTTAAGGCTAATGGATGGAATGATCTAAGTTTACCACAAAAAAAACAACGGGCGGGCGTGTTCGTCTCTCTTGGTCTCTCTCTATCGTAATCTCGATTTTAAAAGTATCTTTAAAGGCAAACTAAAAACTACGAAGCTGTGGCAATGAAACCCTAATCGAAGCTGACAACAAATATTTTTAGAACACAAAAATAAGAAATAATATTTTTAAAATTCATATTTTTTTTATCTAAGAATGAAGTCTAGTAATATCAAAAATATTTTGTCAGTTCCGCAAAGAGGTGAAAGTGTCAAGTGAATGTTAAATAAGGGTATGAAATGGGTGACGACCCTTCACATGGCCGTTTCCAGCGGCTGGCTGTGACTTCGCCCGTTAGTTTGCAGGGGCTGCAGATCACCCGTTCCACCATCCCCATCGAAATCTGTCTCCAGGAGAGCCTCCGACTTGGAGCGATGATACGGATTGGTCAGCGGTGACGGGATCGTCGGTGAGGACTCCTCGGATGCCGTTTGGTAAACCGTCTTGGGGCGTGAGTGCGTTGGTGGCGCCACATTTGGCGCTGCCGGTGGCTGTGCCAGTGGCCTCGGCGTTCGGTAATGTGAAACTGGGGCTTTGCTACTCCTGACGGCAGTATAGTAGGAGTCCGGACGCCGCATGTCCGCTGGCGTTGCCTGCTGACTAACGGGAACCGCCGGAGCTGGTCGGTACAGTGAGGACTCCGTGGAGTAGTTAAACTGATCAATCTTTTGATCGAAGGGCAGGGAATCGCCGCTACTGCGCTGCGGCATAAAGCTGCTGTGCGAGCTCCTCTGGTACTCCGGAAGATTCTGCTTAAGTTCGCTAAGGAAGGCCAGGCCAGGCTGACCGCGCCTTCCGCCCGGAGTGCTGCCACCGCCTTCCGTTCGAAGGGGTAAGGTGCTGGCATTGCCATAGTAATCGGAGCCGCCCTCGTCGACCTCCTGGTCTGTGTGATGTATGATTGGTGTGTCCTCGGCCACACTGGTGCTAACGGAATTGGCACGAGTGCCTCCGCCGTAGGTGGAATTGTCCCGGAAGCCCTCGTTCCGGTAGCTCAACTCAAAGGCGTCTGGCTCCAAGGCGGCAGCTGCAGCAGCAGCGGCTCTGGCTCGATGGCCACTCGCCTTGGAGATGGTGGCCACCTTGTGACTCTGATGATCCTGAGCAGGCTGAACTGGTCTCAGAGCATTCTGATTCACATACTCATTGTAATGGGGCTTCTGCTCGTAGCCCTCGAAGCTGCCAGCCTCCGAGCTCAGCACACTTTTGTCCATGGAGTCGATGGAGCCATTGGCCACCATCTGCTTGTAGTCCTGGCTCTTGGACAAAGTACCATTGCTGGACATGTTCTGGATGTCGAAGGAATAACATAAAATAAAAAAAAATAAAGTAAAAATAAAAATAAAATCAAGGATTAATGAAATGAAGAGCAAATCATACATAATTGGGTCTTCTGCGGAGGGAGCCCTGCGGATCGATGCTGTTCAGACTGCGCAGGCTCTGCCGGATACTGTTCCTTCGCTGGAGTCGCTGCACATGGCGATGCTTCGACTTGGCGAACCAGCAGAAGGCCACCAGGATCAGCAGGATGATGGCGAGGACAAAGGCTGAGATAATACTGATGGCAAAGATGTCCGCACGCCAGGATAAAGGATCAATGATCACCTAAAAAGAAGTTATCGATTAATCATTGTCCTCTTAGTGAACCTTAGGGAGTTCCTTACCCTAGGATCCATTTCACATATGAAACCGCGCTCTTTGTCGCAGTCCTCCAGCTCTATTTCCCCAAAGACGAAGCTCGTGCAGCGCTCGATGTGATTGTAGTCCTGGATCCACACCTTATCCGGGATACTTCAAGTGCCTCATCTGGCTTTGCAGGTACTTCCACAGCGTTGTCTTATCCGTCCGAATGAACGGCATCGTGGAGTTCTCCGAGCGACAGAAGTCTCGAGCCTCGTGGAAAGTCATGGGAGCTCCCACATAGGTGAAGCAGGTGTCATGGACCAGAGCCCAGCCCGGAGGGCATTTCCCATCCAGGATAGTCTCATTGTTCATTTGGAAGGGCACAGCAAGGACCTCCAACAGCTTGGGATCATCTGTTGGATACGATCATCGACTTAAGTAAGCTTATCAAATATCTTTTTTTTAAGGAAACCTCACCTGACTTATCTCTAATACGAGACTGCACCGAGATGGTGTTATTATAGCTCCAATAGTTGTGACGGGCATCGATCTTAGAGCTCCAGGTTTCAAAGGTCCTAGTTCAGGGAGTTCAGATATTAATTGAATGTCAGGAAAAGTGTCACTTTTCATCTTACCTGTTTTCATAGTCAAAACTCAAACTACAAGAGCGAAAATGTTGGAAAATAGAGAAAAGTAAGAAATTATATTCCCATTAGCAGTTTAAAAGTTAAGACTAAGAGTAGGACTACTAGAACTGACTAAGTATATTGTACTTGACTGGATTAACCATACTTACATGGAGTTATTAACGGTTAGCAGCTCATAGTCGTTCTCGTGGTTCTCGAAAATATTATCCACATACTGCTGGCCGGCAGTTCCCGCCACAATGGTTGCTCTAGTCATCCAGTTGGTGGCAAAGTTCCTAAAAATCAAAAATAATAATTTAAAAAAATACTTAAAATAAAACTTAAAGAGAACCAACCTGTAGAAACCGTTGTGAGCCGTGGTCTGATAGATCTGCAGCCGCACCTTTTCGAAACCAGAAACCTCCATAATCCTTCCTCCCACATTGCTGTGCACGTAGTTGTAGCTGAAGTTGGACACCACTTGGCATAGTCTGATCACATCCTCATAGCCAGCCATATTCTGGGCAAAGTAGTTGCGATAGAGCTCTACTTCCTGGTACGGCGAGGACTGTCGTCCCTCCACGTAGAGAGCAGGGCGATTGCGATTCCTCATGAAGAGATTGTGATGGACGAAGCCTCGGAGTGAGGTAGCCGACCCCCGGGAATCAGCTCGGATGCGCAGACCTCCTTGGTTCTCTGTGACCAGGTTGTTCTGGGGGTTTACAAAGTGAAAAGGTTATTTTTAAGTTTAGATTAAAGACTAAATCTACCCACCATAAAGTACAACGAATTCATGTTCTGCACATCCAAGTTAAGGGCTGAAGTGCAGGTCGAGAAATTGCCGTATAATTGCCGGCAGTTCTTCTCTATCCGATTGCCTATTAAGGTCAAAGTGGGCGTGACCTCACCGGCAGAGGCATAGGTAACCGCCCCCTTCATCGCACCTGAGATATGAGTATCCGTGATATTGTGCAGAGCATCGCGATCTGTGAGATAATTTTAAGATTTAACATAGTTAATTAACACCTTTTAGGAAATACTTACATTGACCCAAAGTGGAAATGGGCACAGTCACGACCTCGGCTATGAAACCATGTGTTTCGGGAGCACCACTGGCCACCAGTTGGAGACTCATCGTTGGGCCCTTGGTCTTGAAGAAGGATCTTTGGTTATCGGTATCAGATTCGATCTTGCCCAGATAAGTGGCAGTCACATTGTAGATATCCCCGTCAAAAAGCTTTATGAAATCGGTTCTGCCATACAACTTGGAGTGATTGAACAGATTGGACTGCAGCAACCTGAAGCCAATTGGCTTGGCTCGGAAAGCGGAGGTGAAGATCTTTACGCAGTTGACAGGATTGTTGTCGTACTTGTAGTAGACCAGCATGCGCTCCTCGATGGTCAGCACCTTCTGGGGATCGCATATGTCCACCAGAGAGAAGAGTTTATAAGGAAGATCTAACTTCTTTAAGGGGGAAAAACTAGACTCATCGCTGTCGCGACCTTCGCCACTCAAAGACACAATGCTTATACCGGTTCCCAATGTCTTGTTGATGTTCAGATGATTCAAGTTCAGTTTTCCACTGGGAGCAATCATGTTGATGCCATGATTGGCTGAGTTCTCAATGCTCACCGAGGTTATGGACGGGTTCTTGTGGATGGCTTGGATGGCGGCTGCTTTGTGGTTGTGGAGTATGCCAGCCTGTTCAATCCTCACAAACTCCAGCTGACTTTCCCTCAGAGGCAACCTCGCATGTGACCTGGTGTTGTGCAAACGATGTTCGTACTGGATCTCCTCGAACTTGGAGTTGGCGAACCTTATGCCACCCCAATACACCTCATCATCGGCCATGCTATTGCAGCTGACGAAGACGAAGACATCATCCCAACGGCATTCGTGGCGATGTCCGTAAAGTTGGCCATTCAGTCGCTCGGCACAGTCTTCCATTCGTTCCTCATCGCCTCGGCACTCGAGTGGTTGGACCCACGACCAGATCCGAGTCAGTGAGTTGGTGTGGAACTCTATCCTTCGATCATGGCCATAGTAGACATTCAGGGGATCGTAACCCAGTTCCCGACAAACAACTTGGGCGTTTCTCTCTGTGAACCTGCTATCGCAGATGGGAACCCACTGGAGGGTGGTGTGGTTGAAGTACTCCAGGAATCCTTCATTCAACCCAAACATTCCGTCGGTATCTCCTGTGCAGTTATTGACACTGGTGCACAGTCTAATGGAGTCGAACTCGGTCAGAGGGGCACTCATATCCTCCAGAGCCCGCTTCTTGGGTTGAGCATCGATCAGAGACTCCCGGGTGGCATTTCTAAAGGGTCTCATCACTATGGGAGATTCCTTATATCCAACGGCCAAGAGTGTACCCAAAACTAGTATTCCCACGTTGGGTTCAAATTCCATGGTGACGCCATGATTAATGGTCAGCGTTTTTCCTGGCATCACTGTAACGTCAGAGGATATATAGTAGGGTGTACTCTGTTTCGTCAATGTCAGGTCCTTGTACACCCTGCCGCCTCTGTAGCTGGATAAGTCAATCTCCTGATCTTGGTTGAAAGGAACCACCACAGAGACACTGGCATCGTAGTTGTCTTCGATGAGGAAAGGTTGGTATATCACATCGGCATGATCGTTCCAGTTGTCGAAGTCGAAGATCTTGGCCTCTATGAAGGCGGTGTCCTTAGTGCCCCACCAGTTCTCCTTGGCCTCAAAGTAGTTGTTCAACCTGGCCGATCTCACACCTGCCACAAGGTTGTAGTCCATTTCGTTTTCAGATATCAGATTGCGGTACAGCCGGACATTTTGGACTCCATCCAATCGGATCACGGAAGTGGGCAACTTGTGTTGCTTTCTAATTCTCCTGGCAGCCTTCATGTATTGGTTCCTGTAGTTAGCGGTCATGGTCACGATATTGTTTCCCTTGAAGCTATTAAACTCTATACTGGCCGGTACTTGACCAATAATCTCACTCAGGGAATCCGCCTTGAAGAGCAGCACGAACTTGGCATTATTCGCCTCGAAGCGGTTGTTGTCAAAGCGGAGACGCTTCTCCATTCCATCGAGGGAGATTAGAGCTCCTGGACAATTGTTCTCCCTGAAGACATTCGAGGTGATGTTGAAGACCGTGTAGTGTCCGGAAACGGAGATACGGAAGTCGCGATTTCTTTGCCAGGTGCTGTTGCCAAAGTAGATTGAGTGGGTGAAGTTCTCGTTGTACTGCCAAACATAGGGAAGTGCCACCTAAAAGGGAAAATCTGAATTAACTTCAAAGGCTCGCCAAGATGAAGAAAACTCTTACCTGAAAACCTCCATGGGTGTTCTGCTCCACTGTGGTATCCTGAATCACGTAATGGAAAAGATTGTTGGATGACCGCAGATCCTTCGACAGCTGTCGGATTCCATGACCATTTTGGGTGATCAGCGACCCATTGATATGCAAGGTGATCTCTGATAAGTTGCTAGAAATCACATCCCAGAATGGAGACCTTATAAGAACGGCCTCCCTTTCGTTGTAGCTCAACTCAGAGTTGATCAGTTTAATGGATTCGTTGGCCTTCCTCAAGTAGTACTCCCCGTTGTCACCTATGTATCGGTTGTAGTAGATACCCGTGATACCTCTCAGATTTTTCTGTATCTTCGTTGATCGGATGGTTAGAGTGGGCACAGCTCCACTGACAATACGGTTCCGTATGTTTTGAACCGGAGCCGTGACTGTACTTAACATCAGGACAGCTCCTCCCAGAGCCTGTAGGCCACTCTCGTAGTAGATTATAATCCCGTAACTGCTGCTGGTAACAGGGAACACGTTCAAGTCCCTCTTAACTTGCCACAGATCACTCCTTAAGTTCTCTGTCCTGGCATTCAGGATGTTTATGGACTCAGTGGAAAGGTTGTGGATGGGGTTCAGGAGCTGGATACCAATCACATACCCCGCGGGGCACTGAACCACAATCTTCCTGTTGATATTCTGGCCGAGCAGCTCTTCGGTTCTTATGTACTTGTGTTCAAAGGTTCCCAGGTCAATGTTGCTGATTTCATGGGGCAGAACATAGGGATCGTAGTCCGTATCGTAGGAATTGAAGTCCCTGGCCATGTTGAACCATCCACCGATTTCCTTCTGATCCAAGGCAGATATGACAGCATCATGGGAGACACCACTGCCCTTGTTGTCCTTGATAATCGATCCCGAGATCCTGAAGTCCAGTTGCTTTAGGCTAATGCCACTTCCCCTATTGCCGGAGAACTCCGAGTTCTTGATGTTATTCACGGACTTTCCAGCATAGATATCGGAGTATACTATACCCAAGCCATCTTGAAGATTGTTCACGATCCGCACATTTTCCAGGTTGTGGCGGGCATGGTCCATTTGGATGGCGGGCTTAAAGGCATTCGTGGTGTAATCGAAGAGCCCGGCCTTTTCCACGGTAACATACTGTAAGTCAGCCCTTTCGGCCAACATGCTGAACCTCACGCCGGCCCAAGCACCTTCATAGCACCTGAGACCCACATCGTTCTCATGACTGCAGGTGTTTTCGAAATCGTATTCAGCCCGACATTTGGTGACATCCCGATCCTGAAGCGTGCACCTGACATTGGCCACCAAAACGTCCTCAGAGGTTCCGGCATTTGGCAACTGAGAGCGGAGTAATCGCCAGTCCTGGGGGTTCAAGGAGTAGCCCAGTTGGTGGCAAACCAAGGCTGCATTCAAGACATTCCAGCCGTAGTCGCAGACAGTGCCCCATCGACCTTTCAGGTAAACCTGGAGTCTTCCCTCATTGGCGCCCACTCCTCCAACCAACCGAACAGGAACCCTTGGCACACCATCGGAGGGTATTAATTCCGTTTCCATGTCTATAGCTTCCGTCTCACTATCCAAGTCGATGGTTTCCGTGTCATTATGCTCCCCTATAATCGTTTCCCTCTTCAGTGTGAAGAGTATGTCATCGGGTCTACGTCCTCTGGCTTCCAGTTTTCCTGCCACCATCATTCCCACACTGGGCTCAAATTTAAGAGTGGTTCCAGGTTGGAGGATGAGCTTACCACCAGGCCTGATGTTGATATCCTTAGTAACCGTATACGTTCCAGCTGGCACCATATCCTGGCCATCAACCTCGCCGCCGATAACATCGCTTCCCTCGTGGAAGAACCGGGGAACCACAGTGGAAACCGTGATCATGGCAGTGGAACCGGGATTCGAGCTGTGCAGCAGGTAGGGTATGTAGGTAATCTTGGCCAGGTTGTAGCGATCGTTGCGATGGAACAGCCGAGCGTATATCTTGTTCTCATCTGTGTGCCCCAACCAGTTGCAGGTGGCATTGATAATCTTACTTTGGTCTGTGAGTTGAGAGCCGATTTCGTACATCGAGTCCAGATTGTGCAGGATATTCCGGAAGATATCGATATTACTCGATCCCACGACAACGGGTGCTGCTACCCGAGATCGGGGATTCAGTCGACCAGCACCATCACTTCCCTCGGAGCCTGCTATCAGGGGACCAAACGCCTCCGTAATATTATTTCCCTTTACGAAGTTTCTGGTAAAGAGAATGTACTGGACCTCAGCCCTGCTATAGGGCGATAAGCCCAAGGAGACCACATGGACTCCACTGTTCCTCATGAAGTAGTTGCTCTGTATGACCAGCTTCACCGGGAAGTAGTTGAACTCCGGATATATGTAGTCGTTGTTGATAAACAAACAACCGTAGGACCCATAGCGGAACATATTGTACTCGATTCTTCCCTGGAGATTTAAGGCTGGACTCAGATAAATGGAGTTCGCCTGGGAGTACTTGAACTCATTGTGACCGAGCTGGAGTTGCATATTGGGGCGTCCATTGGCAGTGGCTTGGTAGCAGGATTCAATGAATATATCATTCTGCTGGCTCCCATTGAAGTGGTTCCCTGTGATGTTCACCCAAATGGGCCGACAGAAGTTGCCATGGAAAACTCCCGTCTCCAGATTGCCTCCGATCTGTGAGTACTCCACCACGCTCGTTTGGTTGAAGGGTATGTACTCCATGCGGCTGACGTCGGATGTCTGATTCAGCCAAGTGGCTACGCCGTAGCCCTTGTTGGCCGTTAAGGCGGATCTGGAGATATTCCGATTGCCACCATAGTAGGTGATGTTGACGCCGGCACCATTGTTGAAGCTGATGTTGGAGCTGGTTATGTTCACATCTCCGGCTCCGCTGGTCACATGCACTCCGGCCACATGGCCGTTCCCGGAGACGGAGCTACTGTGCACATGAAGCTTGGATCTTATGTTATCGACCGCAACGCCACGACCTCCATTGTCTTCTACTGTAGATTGCGACAACTTGAGGTCATAGGCCACCGAGTCGCCGGATGTCATCCGGAAGTAACCATTAATCTCCTGCCTGGCATCCGCTCGGATCCTCACAAACATTTTCTCCCTAGTGGAGGTAACACTCTGAGGCCTTGTGAAATTCCTGGCCTTCCATTCGAAGAGCAGGCGATCGTTGGTCGAGGCTCCATCGTAGATTTCCACTGTGGCCGTTTCGTTTTGCATCAGGACGAAGTGCTCGAAGTGGAGGGTGAGGAGATATCCTGGTCTGGTGAAGAAATACTTCCCGCACTCCTTGCCAGATCCCGCGTAATATTTCTGAGAGAAGGATAGTGAAATGGGGTAGGTCTGCCCCGAAGTTGTGGGTAAAGTGCAAAAGTCATAAATGCTGGCCCGATCCTTCCTTTCCGTTCCCCTCAGGTCGTGACCCACATACTTGACACCATCTCCTGCATTATCCACTACGGAGCAGCCATCCAACAGCACTGATCCTTGGCTTGAGTTGACGAAAATTCCAATGCCATTGCACTTCCTTACGGTGACATTTTGCAGCTGGAATCCTGCCCAGGGCCGGGTGCTATTGAATCCTGTATAGGCCGAGTGACTGATCATCACGTGCTCCATTTGTGGAGGCAAGCCCTGGACCTCCACTGCCGACTTGGCACTAAATCCAGCGCCGTTGCCTGCTCTTATGATGTCCACGTACTTAAGACGCGACTCCGATATAGCCGAATAAACGATGTTGTCCCTGCCCAGAGCCTTGGTGGACGGGGCATTATCGAAATATATGCCTCGCCAGTGGCCCAAGGTTTCGGAGTGGACGGGCAGACATTGGATTCCCAGATCGTTGTGATAGTCACAGGCACCAGCTCCCATTTGTCGGGATGTCCAAGCGCAGTCTTGGAGGTTACTCTCGCCACCTCTACACTTGGGCTGCTCGTAAAGCAGTCGGGGATAGTATCCTGCAGTTCGTTCCACCCAATTCCAGAAACGACCTCCTCTATATCCTAGCTGCTTACAGGCCACTCCGTAATCCGCCAAAGTCCAACTGTTGGGTGGAATAACTCATTAATTGAGCTTTGGAAAATCATAAAACTACTCACTTTCTGGAGTTGGAGCAAACGGATCGCCAAGCTCCCTTGTGGAAGAGCTGCAGTCTTCCCTCGACTGGGGTGGGCCCATCCACGAGTCGAATTCCCTTCTCCTGGTCATCGGGCAGCTCCAACTTATAGTTGGCTGTATTGCTCTGGGATTTCAGCACAATTCTGGAGGTTGGTGTACCCTAAAGTAAATATTTAATAGTTATCTTTATTATCTTTCTTATTTTTGAGTGTAAATTTTGTAAAAAAGGAAATGTGATCAACTCGCTTGGTTCCAGTCAGTTGACCGAGAGTTTAAGTTTAGTATAAGCAAATAAGAAAATCAGGAGAAATAGCTATTAAAATAGTAATTAAGCTAAATTCAATTTCAGTCTTTGGGAATTTATGTCACCTACGGCTTGAAATCTCTGAAAGTGTATCAAAAATAAAATAAAGAACAAAACCCACTTCTTTAAGTTTCAAAACATTTCTCCTTCATTATTTTTGTTGATTAATCATGTTTGGGGCTTCTGCATTTTCTCTTGCGTCTTGTTCGACTTTTCTCTTCGACTTGTTTCTCTCACGTAGCATGCAATTATTTTCGGTTTCAATTATGATATTTTCCCGCCACTTGGCCTTCGTTTGCCAATGAAAATCGACATGAAGAATACATAGTATATATAATTTTGAAACCAATTGGGGCCTCAATTAACACCTATGCTTCGAAGATCTCGAGACGAGGAGTCGCCCACTGCCGCAAAACAGTTTTATTCAATTAACAGCAAGACAGGTCACGCCGTCTTAACCCTTGCGAGCACTTGACTCACTCAGTGCTGTTTTGCATATCCCCAAAAAATAAGTGTGAAATACTCATATCGAAAACTAAGCATTGGCTTAAGAGCCCGACAAAGCTAGTTTAATCATTTCCCTTTCGGCCTCTGTAATTGTCAATTATGACTCTCCGACATTCACTTAAATCTAATTAACCCATAGTGACCCCTTGACCGCTGATTAAGTGCCTACAGAAGCTAAGACCGGAGCGGAACATGCAAAGTGCACGTCATAATTGAGAGGAAGTCAACTGAACTTGGCTGACCCAGTTCTGGGGTTAAAGATTGGGCTGGCCCTAACCTACCGCTATATATCTCGCAAGTCCTCCTTGCAGATTCCGATCTCTGGTGCTATATAGGCAGCGGTATCTCCCCCTTTTCGACGATGTGTAAATCAGACAATCGCAATCTTATCGCTGCCGTAAAGTCAACAATGAGAGAACTTCAGTTCAGAGCTTTTGTATCGGGCTTATCTATCGCTAAGATTACTCATAGTGGACCCTCGACGGCTGATAACAACAGGTGCTGCTTAATCATTCGCAAAATGCCTACAGGTGCAGGTGAGTTTTGAATTCGACTATGCATTTACCCTACAAATGGTTCTTCATCCCCAAACTAATGAAATTTCTAAACTTTCATAAAGCCAACTCCCTTCAAGCCATATTCTTCCACCCCATTTCGTAGTAATCAAGTTTCATGCCAGTCAATCATTCTCGAGTTACTGCAAGCTTTTCACAATGACCCATAATGAATTTTCCCCATTAGGATTTCCGACTTACCACCGCCTGCAGGACGCCGCTGACTTTCAGTCCCTTGGTGGGGGCAAATTCGATGGTTACACCCGGTTCGATGGTCAGTCGTGCTCCTCGCAGGACCTCGAGGTCCTCGCGCGCCAAGTAAGGACTCTCGCTGCGCCGAAGGATTCGTTCGCTGAGAATTTCCCCGCCTTGCAGTTCGGTGTACGAGGCCGATGACGTCATCGGAGGGGTGGAACTGTGTGGCGCCACGGTGACGTCTGCGCCGGAATGTCGGGTGGCAGGCAATATTTGTGTGGCGCCATCGAGACTGGCGAACTCGATGTCGTTATCCTGCAGCAGTTCCACCTCTCTGGAGTCCTCAACTCGCCGATTTTCTTGACTCTGTGCCAAGTGGGTCGAAAAAATCAGCGTTACGACCACCCACAAGCATATGTTGGCCCATTTCGGATCCCTGTGGGGTTTACTTTCTCGTTGGCAGTTCGTTTTGGGTCGTGGCAGCTTCATTTGTGCATCGTTTTCGTATCACTTTTCGTTGTCGTTAAATTTGGTTTACTTTTCTTTTATTTTTAATTAATTACTTCACTAGGGGTTTTATTACACATTCGCCATGGCAGTTTTGTGATTATTAAACAGCTGGGAAACGGGAAAATTAAGATTTAATTAGATTTTTAATTTTATAGGGTTTTATTTAATGGGATGGATTTTCTTGATATTTTTGTGGCACTTTTAAGTTTTGTACATCACTTTTACACTGCTATTTCGTATTTAAACTCCAATTTTTAAGCACTTTTCCGGATTTTCCATTATTTTAGGTTAGTTTAGCAACTTTCAACAGTTTTCCAAGCTGTGAATATAACTTTTCAGTTTCTGTTCAACCTTTGTTTTTCCTTCTAACACCCAAACCTCAAAAATCTGAGATTTCCCAACAGAACATGAGAATTTTGGTGGGTCTCATTGTTAACAAATTTTTGTGATAAGCCGCTAGAAGAACGGCCCCAAAAGAGAGCCAAAAAAACAACGAGGGAACTCCTACCAAAAGTCACACAACAACAAGTACAAGCTTTTGGTTTTTTTTACCTTTTTCTACTTTTCCTATACAAAACACGTCCGTACGCAAAGAACCGTTAGCAACGACTGACAAGCCGAGAGGGTTTAGTATATTGCATTACCCGTCGACAGAACGAGATGGCGCGATAAAGAGTGTAGTGGTTGGACAGGGAGGGAACGACGAACAACAATAACAAAAGAAATGAGACAAACAAACAACAATATGGTAAATATTGGGGAGTTGTTGCTCGAAGTCCCCCACTTTTGTGAAATAACTGTAAATGTGTAGGCATTTCATTCATGCGACAAGAGAGCGAGCGAGAGAGCTAGTGATTGAGAGAGTGAGAGGAAGAGCGAAAGAGAGCGACGCACGCACCGCAAGTTCGTGTTGTTTCCCCAAGTCTTCTTTAATTTTCCTTCGGTTACGTGTGCGTAGTAAGAAGAAAGAAGAAAGCATTTCCACCTTCGACTTATGGGCTTTATCAAAACTTTCCCCCACCCTCTCTATACACTGAGAGAAATTTCAACAACGGATGATCAATTCCCAATCCCTATTATGAATGAATCGAAACCAATTTGATAAACTTCCTACATTTTTAAATGTTTGTTGATAAAATAAATATTTAATTATTTAAAAACTCAACATTTTCTTTTCTATTTTCTTCCGTGCATCCCCAACATTCTTGATAACCAGCATTTTAAATTTATCGAATATGCAAAGCAGCTTTATGGCTTGTTGTTCTGTGTGAGGGGCGGGGGAGTGGCAGGGGCAACGGTGCGTGTGTGGATTGTATCTTGTATCTGGCATATGACGGTCGATGGATGTGACTCAACTGCAGCGCTGAATGTTGCGTTTGTGGTTGCCGTGACTGCATTTGAAGTGCATTCAAAAGTTTGTTGTCTGCCTTTTTATGGGTTTATTAACTTTAGTTTGCTTCGATTTTAGCTCTGGCATTTTGCGTTTCTCATAAGTTAAGTGAATGCACTTAAAGTAAACCTATTATTAACCTTTAGCGGAATTTCCGCTAAAAATTAAATTTTATTTAATATATGTACATTGTCATTTTCTTTGTTTATATAATATATCGAAGAAAGTTCATGGCCAGGCTTAGATAATTAAAAACACAAAATGATAAGATATGAATGAGTTCACTCCCAACAAAACACTTTTATCGTTAGCTTAAACCCAAAAAACCAAAAATACTTTCAAGTTACTAAGTTTTTTAGCCAAAACACCTTCTAAATCCGTTAAATTCAATTCCCATAGCAGAGTTCTAGATTAATTGTGCTTTCTCCATGTGGCTTGTTGATGTGAAAGGGTTTCCCCGCTGTGCAGCTGTTTTTTGGTCAATTTTACAGCAATTTAATTTAGTTTCCGTTCTAGCCAAGAGTTCAACAACCCGGTGAACTAAAATTGGTAGAATAATGCCAATTGTCTAACCAATTTTATGGTCGCTTGGGGTCTCGTCATTGTCCAATTTGTTTTGATGTAACTACCTGGAATTTGTTAGTCACTTGCCGGCTTCAATGATCGTCGCATGACTAATACCACCCACTACTCATAGAGATCTCTAAGCTTCTCTGTATACAAACGTAGATCTATTTCAGAGACCGTCATTGATGATGCTCACCGCGCTAAAATGTTAATTAGCTTGACCAGCGAGCTTTGCATTCTCATTAACTTTGAGTTACAAGGGGTAGATACGCACTGAACATATTTCATTTACCGATCTATTTGCAGCGTATCTTTCAGTCTTTAAACCTGTTGCTTACTTTTATCTAATAGATTTTATAATGCACCGGGAATATGTGAAGCCTTTGTTTTGCCTTTCCTTATCTGCACCAAATGATTGATAATGCCCCATTTCCTTTTACGTATGCGAAAACGTTCTTTTAATTCACTTTTTTCACATGGTTTCCCGACTGTCTAGAACCAGAATGGCAACGCGTCATCGGCTTCTATATTCAATTGCCGGGCGAATGACTAATGCGGAACGGAAGTAGCAGAGGAACTCCGAGAGGAACTCGTACGTAGGGAACAACCTGTTCGAAGGAGGGGACTCAAGGGAGCACACCGGTATTAAACAAGTGCAACCAACGTTGCGGCTCGCTGAACGCATCAACTTAAAAGTTGCAGTTGCAGTTTATTGGCCACAAACCAGCGCAAAAACAACAACAACATAAAACAAAAAATAAAAGAAAAAATTGCCGTAGATGGGGCAATTAGTTGCTGCCAAGAAAGCGTGCAAAAATAGGAAGAAACAGAGCAACAGCTAACAGAATTTTCGGATCCAATCTTCATACTTCGATGATTTGCTTTTTGCTCAGATACTAATCAGAAAACTCTAGCAAACTTTGATAGACTGACAATGAATTACAGTCTTAAGGATTTTCTTCACATGAATCATATATATACACGTTTTTACAAACTCTAATACATATGCACAAGCAACAGCACTTTAACATAAGAGCCTATTATCTTTTGGCCAATTTATGTTAACTTAATTCTCTTCTGTATAACCAACTTTAAAACTATCACATAAACCACCGATTTTTAGGCAAAACACATTGATTCTTCCACTCCAGAATCCTATCTCTTTTAAGCCGAAACTTAATGCGCGTCTTGTATGTTTTCTTTGTGTACTCCACTTGGCCTTTTACAGGTATTGGTGTGTTTGGTAATACTTTTTTGGTGGTGCCTCCAACACAACCTCACTTTCTGGCCCAAAGCTTTGGCTTTTCACTCTTGGTTTTTATTGAAAATATCAAATTTAGCCACTATTTGATCACTTTTATTTGGTTAGATCTTTTCAGATTTCATTTATGGCACTAAGTTCTATAATTTTTAGCTTTTCAGAAACGACGCTTTTTGCATTTAAGGCGCGGTCATCCAGCGATCACTCACACTCTGAAGAACCGACTGTACGTATACGTGACAGCCAAGAGAAGAAACAACAAAGCACCGTTGAGATCAATAAGTTACTGCTGCCAAGCGTTATTTTCCCCGATCAAGCGCACACGTCCAACATCGAACACCTTCTGAACCGAACTGAGTGTCGTGCTCAAGTCTGAAAAGCCAAATAAACTGAACGACGAGCGGCACGGAGCGCATTGAGTTCACAAGAGAGGAGCCGTCATTCAAACTGGCCAAGTAATCCCATCTGGTATAGACCAAAAGCCCGGAGAAGCTTTCGGTTTTCAGGCGGGTGAGCAGCGTTATTGTTTTTCTCTGAAATGTCAGTTGGCAGCTAGCAGTTAGCTCCACTCTCAGTTACCTTGGCCGAAATGCTAAAAGTGGCCAATGCAGCGGCCAAAGCTTTGGCTTCCAACCACAAAACAGAGTCGGTTACTTGACCTGTTGCTGTTGGTAACCGGGTAACAGTCGGCGGTCTTGTGGGTGGTTTGTGGATCTGTTAAGCCACGACCAAATGTTACCAAAGTGTGGAATTGGTTGTTAGTATCAATTACTGTTAGTTTTTAAATTTTGTTGCTATTGATATCTCTTACTGTTCGGTACAATGTTATGTCATAGTTATATAAATTTAAAACAATTTAAAGCAATATATTTTACATTAAGGTTTATCAATAGGGCTTATCGTGGCTTTTAAAATACTTACATAAAGCGGATTCACAAGTTTTTATGGTCTGGAGACGAAAGTAATGAGTTTTGTACTAATTCTGATAAGATCTTTATCGTTTTTAATGGAGGGTTATCGTTTTGTATATAAACAAACTTCAGACGATTTACTTTAAATCCAGAAGTATGATTCACACACCTAATACTTGTCTTATTACGATTAATTTGGGAAAAGGCAATATAAACATTTCCTTTAAAGGTCCTATTTATAAGGCTAATAAAAGGTATTATCCATAAATTATCCTAATAATTTAAATTTTTGTGTGTAATAACACATATATTTACTTAGTAACTCATAGCTGAAGGAGGTAATAAAATTAGTCGAAAGAGCATCGAAAATTGAAAAAACCTTTGTCTTAGTGGCGCTGCGTGTTTATCTTAGGAACTACCGTTGAAAGCGCCAACGGTTGAAATGATCCCGAATGTGGCGCCATATACTGCTGCGGCAATAAGTCGTACTAAGTACGTGATCCATCATGACGCCTTCTAGGCGGCCATAAAGTAAGGTTTTTATATTTCAAGTAAAATAAACTTCAATATTAGATTGATTTCTATATACTTTTCGCTTTATTTTTATTGTAGCTATTTTGCTATCAAAGTAAATAAGATATTAACGCATTTATCTACAGATATAATGTATTTTTGGCTCGCATTAATTTCAGTAATTCCAAAAAGAACGGCTTAACGGTATAAGATATGTACATAAAATAATAAAAAATTTCGAACAATCTAGTCAAACAATTTCCTTTAGTGTAGAATGTGTAGTATTTGGAAACTAACGCAAGGTCATCATGTTGACGAACTCCTCGAAGTTGATGTGGTTGTCCTGATCCAAATCGTACTCGCGAATCATTTCGTCCAACTCCTCGTCGTCTATGTGTTCGCCCAATGCCATAAAGATGGACCTTAATTCGGTGGCAGAGATGTACCCATTGTTTTGCTTATCGAAGACACGAAAGGCGTCTCGCAACTCCTCCTCCTTGCTGGTGTCGCGCATCTTGCGCAGAATCACATTGCAGAATTCTGTGACCGCAATCGATCCGTTACCATCCGTGTCCACTTCATTAATCATGGACATGACCTCTGATTCGTTTGGTTGGCGACCCAGTAAGCGAATCACTTGCATTATTTCCTTGGAGGTGATGGCTCCCTCGTTCTCCTTATCCAAGATCTTAAATGCGTCCTTCAGCAGCTCCTGGTCATCCTTACTCAATTCATCCATCACGCTAGGCTTCTAATAAAGGCAAAAGTTATAAATATTTCAACTTTTCCGTTTCCAAACCAGACGTCTGTCAGCTGAATATGAGAAGCAGTTCTGAGTCCTACGAATGGAAACTATGTGGTATCTCTGATGGAAATTTATTTTATAAAAATAAAAAACGTTTATTTAGCTTATTTGCTTAAAGGAAGCGTTTAGATAATAGCCATCATTATATTATTATAATACTTCAATTTCATAATGAGACTTTTGTAATCACATGGACTTATTCTTTATCGCACATCAAGTTCATTTTTTATGAAGATAATACGTTTTTTCGGTAATATCCGAGCATTCTCACGCACTGTTTGGCAATCAAATCACGTGCTTTTCGGGACCCAAGATGATATCATCCGACGGAGAAACTCTGCGACTTTACGCGAATTATTTTATAGTTGAACCAGAAATTGATGTCACCAGTGGGGGACTATAACTGGGCGGGTATTCCTCCCATTGAGGAAATTCCAGGAACCCCGGCAACTCCAACTGGCAGCGATGACAATTTGCGTGGCATTTTAATTGAACTTTCTACGTGTTCGAGTGGTGCACTTTGATTCGAGCCCCATCCACCGATTTTGTGTCGATTTGAGTCAATGTTAAAGGCGTTGCCACAAACCGCAAACTGTCGTGTCTAGGAGGTCGGGGAGGGGCCTCGAAACGTGCCTGAAGTATTATTACCGCCGTCTGTGATTGATGGCCTCATGCGAGTGAGTCAGTGGATTTTTATAACTCTACGCAGATCCCTTCCTTTCCATCAGACAGCAAGAAATCTGGACATCGATCTCTCTGTTTAAAATGAACTATCAAAAGTGTTTTTAAGCAAAGTGGAAACCTTGGCATTCTTCTAGCGAATCGAAACCCAAAACTATATTAAGACTCAGTTAGGATTAAAACGCAAACCAAATTTTCAATATTAATGCAATCTTTATTTGAAATAAACTAACGCGCTATCGTTTGAATAAAATCATTTAAAATTGAAGGAAGACCATGGAATTCTAGGGCTGCTTACGTTAACTACTACAAAACTCTTACAATCTAGGCCTAGTTACATAAGGTTCAACTGGAATGTTGCTTGTAGTTTGATTTGTTTATGCTCTGTTTTACACTAACTTTTACTTTCAACCATTTTTTCCCTACAACAAAGTCAGTTTACGATTTTGTTAACTCATTAAGATTAGCTTACTGGATAAGGAAACATAAATAAAAAATTGGAATTCACTCAAACAGCAACACTTAGTGTTGGGCCACACACTAAAAAACTAATCGATAGACTCTCGTACTAAGGCTTAGGCACTAAAATGGGCAGATTTACGCTAGGTTCCTAACACATAGTGGCTCTATAAAATGCAACAACAGAGTTTCTTTTCGCTTACAAGTATCGCTTAGGGGTGTAACTGTGAATTAACTTAGTTTAGGTTTATTGCCTTGCCTAGACATTGTACTAAAATGTATCAAAACCTAACTCTAAATCATGTTTTATGTACTTGTAGGTCCAAATAGGGAATACCTCGATTGCCTCGTTTGTTTAGTTTTTGATGCCATTAAGGTTCATGTTACCAATTAGCTGGAATTTTAACAATTTTTACAAGATTTTTAAGGATGACGTAAAAAAGTCTCCTCTGATTTGAAATCACGTGTAGTGCTGCCTAAAAGCATGCTATATTAAACAGCAAGTAGTTTCCAAACTTTCCCAAGAGATTTCAAAAGACTAAAGACTGCTAATCAGTTTCCTATCTCGATTCCAAATTCTTCTACAGGCGTAATAGTATACTAAGTTTTCTTCAGCGCTGTATTAGCGTCTCATGATGTCCTCAATGCTGAATCCTGTTCTCCTGGGTGGTGCAGGTGGTGGAGCTGGCACAGGTGGCGCCACTGTCGGCGGTCCCTTCTCAGAGGCGGGTCCACTAGTCTCTGTACTCGGTGGTTTTCCCAAGAGCTGCCTGGGTGGATGTCGCGACATATTCAGAGCATATATACTAGGATTATCCACGAAGGTCCTTTGACCCAAGACAGGATGGTGGTGTGGATCCATCATGTCCAAAGTCGGTGCCGGCAGAATCCTCTTTCTCATAGGAATCGAACCCAAAAAGCTGGGCATAGCTTCGTGCGGAGAATGCAAGGGTTGGTTGGGTGGCTTACTCGATTCCGGTTGGGTGATTATAGTGGGTGGCGTGTGTGGGGGTGGTGGTGCACCCTTTGAAAGGTTCAAGCTCTTGTGGTGCAAGTCGCGGCGGACGTGGAGAATGGGTAAATAGGGATCTCCGTTGGGTGGTAGTAAGTGTGGATGTCCTTGGTGTTGGTGGGTCGGTGGCGGAGCTCCTGGTGGTGGTGGTGGTGCAGCTGCTCCTGGTGGTGCCGGATACCTTACAAAGGAAGGTGGTACCTGTAGGCTTGTCAAGCCGGAGTTGCCTGGTTCTTCCAGATGCTTTTCCCCATGTGGCCGCATTGTGTAGGTTTCGCCGCCTTCATGATGACAGTGAGTCACTCCTTGACGTTCCGGCTTGGTCACTAAGCCCACTGAAGAGGATGGAAGCGAAGTCGCTGCTGCCTTACTTGCCTGGAAACGAGCCACCAGAGCTGCCTCTGCCTGCTCTTCATCTTCGGGATCAAAGTCCTCGTCCTCTTCCCTGGCCATGTCATGAACCCTGGGAAGATCCTGAAGCTCCTCTTCCTCATCGAAGTCATCGAACTCCTCTTCACTCTCCTCCTGGTCAATGGCTGCCTTACGCTTAAGTCTCATTCTTTCGGACTCCGATTTCTCTCCAGGAGCTCCTGAGTCACCCAAATTGTGAACTGGCGACTGGCGCGGTGAGTCTACCTCCAGCAGAGAGTCCTCCTCATCACCACTCAAGTTCCTGGCCTCATCCTCTTCCCCCACATCCACGTAGTCCCCGGAATTGACCTCACCCACTGCGTGAGTCAGGGCATGACGTCGCAGGTCACAGTTACGGCGGAAGACTTTGCCGCACGAGGAGCACTCGTAGGGCTTGTGATCCGTGTGGGTGAGGAGATGGGTCTTCAGGTTGGAGCGCTGATTAAATGAACGGCTGCAGACTGGACACTTGTGTGGCGACTCCTCCATGTGCAGGATCTTGTGGACGGCCAAAGTCCTCGATTGGCAGAAGCCCTTGCCGCATTCCGTGCATTTGAAGGGTTTCTCCTTGGAGTGGATATACCTGGAGAAAGGAAAAGGTGAAAGGGAAAAGTCATTATTGCTACTGCGTGGGCGTTTTCTTGGTAGCTGCAATTGGTAGCCAAGTTGACAGTTATCTCTGCTCAAATGCGAATTTAACTTGACCGCTGCCAAAGCGGTTAATCTCGTTGATATACGTACTTTGGATACCCTAACGAAAGATACTATAGACCTAAGCTGTATAAAGTAATATCAAGTTTATGAAGTCAAAAGTTTTCCTTAGCCTTAAGAAGACTCTCTTAACATTTAAAATTTAGCATTTAACTTAAAAAAACCATGAACATCCTCATAACCTATAGGGTATCTAGAGTTCGGTGCTGCGATCGCTTCGCATTAATTTTTTATGTTTATGGCGGCCATCTTGGCAATGGCGTCCACTTGTTGTTGGCCAGCAGCAGCCTCAGTTAAAAGCTAAAGTCCCCATCACCGCCGGAGTCTCAGATTCAGCATCGCATCGCCTCGCCTCGCATCGGAGGCAGCAGCTGCTGGTGAAAAAAGTATAAAAATATAAACCCAAAACAGGTTCTGTCTCTGTCTCTGGCTCTGGGACCCGAGATTCTTCTCCCATGCTCGGCGCGTTTCTGGTCAAAAAAGTGAAGTAAAAAAGTAAAAAAAAAAAAAGAAGAATTAGCCCCGCGGCAAAGCAAACAAACGACAAATGGACCGATACCGAACGATCAAAAGACAGAACGCTCGGACAGGCCGACACATTGAAGTCGGGATGCTGGAGACCTGCTGCCTGGCATCGGCATCGGCATCGGGATATATAGACCCGATATGGCCCCCAACCCCTTGGCCATCCCTCGATTTGAATGCTGGTGGAGGAGCCCCAAAGGAAAGCAACCGAGTTAATTAACTTTGTGTTGTACTCTTTGGCCAAGATGGAGTTTTACTGGCAGGCGGAGGAGCTCTGTTTTCGGTGTCGTTTTATGAGGGGAAATTCGTTTGGGGTTGGGGTAGGAAAAATTCGTCGTTGTGACTGAGAATTTCCTGGAATAGTCCACTTGAATCTTAAAGTCTCCGATGATTTTAGAATGTTTTAGAAGATTTAATCGACATCTCCTTATAGAACCTGTTACAGCCAACCTATAAAAATAGTTTCAGTTTCGTAGTCTTCTGATTATCTTAAAAAAAAACAAAATCATTGAGCTATTAACACTATCTAGTCTACAATAATACCTCAGCTTACTTAGGGTATTCCTCGATTCGCATACCAATCACAAGCAAACATATCTGCAGGCCTAAATGGCCATTACCAGAGCAGATACTCCCCCTTTTGCGTGTGTTTTTGTCCCAACTCACCTGTGATCCCTGAGGTGATCCTGTCGCCGGAACGCCTTGCCGCAGATATCACAGGAGTAGGGCCGCTCGTCCGTGTGGGTCCTTTCGTGGATGAGCAGATTGTACGACTTGGTGAACTGTCGGTTGCAGAACTTGCAGATGAACTGTTTCTTGGGCCGTGAAGCCCGGCCAGGAGCTCTGAGAAGACGTCTGTCGAGTCCTGCATGCATTCCAGGACCCAGACCAGGTGGGAAAAGAGCTGCGGCGGCGGCTGCTCCAGGGGGAAATGGGAAACTTCCGGCTCCTGTGGGCGAAGGACCCGGTCCGGTGAGATATGGCGGAGGTGGCACTCCGGCTGGTCCATACAGAACTCCAGGAGGTGGAACGCCAGGGCCTCCGGGACCTCCTGGGCCTCTGCCTAGCATTGCGGCCGCAGCAGCAGCTTCCCTAAGGGCGAGTTCCTTGCGTTTATCCGCCATCATGGCAATAATTTCGTAGTTGGAGTTACTACCGGGACGAACTTTTCCGGTGGGCAAAACCGGGACAAAGGCAGAGATCTCACGGTGGTGCGGCGGTGGTGCCGGTGGAGGTGGTCCGTGGAGTCCGGCCAAGTGCTGCTGATAGGCCAGCTGTGTTTCATACGCCGAGATCCGGCTGGCCGATGAGTTGCGCGAATCGCCGTTGCCGTTCTGGGATCCACCATCCGATCCTCCGGCACTCCTATCCGCCACGCCTCCAACACCTCCACCACCCACCGCTGCCGCTGCCGCCGCCATCGAGTTCATGAACTGGTCCATCCGGGAAGGTCGCAGCATGGGTATAGCACCGCCTCCTCCGCCGGAGATCTCGCTGGATGAGCTTTCCGTGGGCATTATGTCGGAGGGGCTCTTTACATTCCGTTGGAGCTGCGGGAGATAGGGCAGAGCAGAAAAACCGAAAATAAAATAAGGGTGGTGGTAAATAACAATTAGTAGACGATTGTGCTGGCTTAATTGGGCTCTCGTTTTCGGGGCTTATCTTAATTGCGGCCCAGGTGCCATAAACAGTTATTTCCACGTTGTATTTTTATGGTCCGCAGGGTAGTACGGGGTATGACAAAGGCTTAAGCTGACTGGTTTTAAGGGGTTATATTCGGATGATGGCTTAGAACAGAACAGAAGTGCTTTCGTTTTAGGATGCTTATTGTTAAAATCTTCAACAATATCTTCTTAATTACTAATAATATATCTTTTATAAGTCTTAACAGTGAGGATGCACATCTACTCTCTCCTTTTATTTCACAAAATATAGAAAAAAATCCCCTTATCTCAACCTGCTGTAACTCACTTTTAATTCACTCCAAATTCTTTAAATTTGTTTTTTGCACTTCTTATCAGGGAGTAAAACAGCTTTAGTTCCATTAAACTGGCAAATAAACGGAGATTGCTTATGAAAAATACATCACTTCGAAGCTGATTATCCAGAGTTTATCCACGTGAACGTGATTAGCAAGAACACAGAATAAAAAAGAAAACAATTTTCCAGATGATTCGACCATATTTTCACAGGGTAACCAAACAGTTTATCACATTATGGCCTAGCATTGTGTTTTTCCATATGAATTTTATTATTATTGTTGCCGTTCTGCTGTTATTGTTGTTTTTGTTGTTGTTGTTTATTATTATCAACGGCGGACTGCCGACGACGGCGAGTGAAACTAAACTGAAAACGAGTCGCAGTTTGGCACCGCGATCGGGTGCTTCCAGTGCGCAGGTTAGATAAGATTGTGCGTCTAAAAAACCTGCCTCCGAACCTCTGGGTCTGAGTAAGCAGCACAGTAGTAACGATATAAACTCACACTCTCTCACTTGGATGTATGTATATATAGTATATCGGTAGATACCCCGGCACTCTCCGATACAGATACAAAGATACAGATACAGCTACAAATACAAAGATACATATACATACATACAGGGGCAGGCAGCCAAGTTGCCGTCGGTTTTGGTAAATGACTCGAACCGAACTCGACCGACTGCTTACTGGATTTACGCAACAGGAGCCTCGACTTCTGAGTGCCTCGAAAGAAAGGGGCTGCGGCAGCGGCTAGAGCGGGGGCAGGGGCACTGTCAGGGGCTACGAAACGTGATCATCACGATAATAACAAAATAATGCAGATAATAATGATCACAATGATGGCCGGACCATAAAATTTGTGGCCCCATCTTGCAAACGCTTCTTGCTGCCATCTTCGCGCTGTGCACAGAACAAAAAAGAGTATGGAATAGGCGTCGTCTTGTATCTTAACTTTTAAGAGAATACTAATATGAAATCCCTGTTTTTCTCAGTGTTCTCTCCTCATTTAAATTTATAACCAGTTGCCCAGAGACGAGAGAGCATAAAAAATAACCCTGCTGTCGGTGCAATGACAGTTTTGCTTATCATTTGCTAGAATCGTTCTGCTGTCCCAGTGGGTTTTGGTCTTAATGCAAAATGCTGCAACGTCATCAAGATCAACATTAACATTCAGCCAACTTCAGGCAAAGTGATGGTCAAAGTTGGCTAAGAAAAAGCTTGGCCAAGACCGAAGAGGCGCCCATTGTTGGAGAAACCGTTCTTTATTTTCGGATGACTAGCTCAGAAGTGGGTCTTATCTTTGGAAATTATTTTGGAATTGTCTGGCTGGAGAGTCTGCTGTCAGATTAGCCCTATAAAGTAGCTGAGACCATGACTTGATCATGAGCATTTCATTGTTAAGGTGTTTTCGGGGCATGACTTTGGGGAGTTCAAGTGGAGGAAATATAAGAAAATCCTAATTAATAATGTAGACGTGGGTAGTTCTTATCGTGCTCCAAATCAGGAAAAGTTATTATAATCGTGAGATAAATTTGACAACATAGGTATAAAACTTAAAATCATATAACTGATAATCTGATTTATCCCCCCTGAGATATCAGAAGCACATGCCACAGTAATCCCCACTTTTATTAGATACCAATTGGCTAATACGTCTACCAATTCCAGTTCCAATCCAACCCAGGCTAGTTCTGCTGCCCTCGCTGATAATCTGTGGCATTCTATCTATATTGGATTCAATAAAGCACTTATCTGATCCCTTTACGACACAGTCGGGGCTCTAATCAAACCCCCAACATAGCCTGTTGATATAATCAGCGGACCCTTTGCCTTAGATGAGCGATGGCCCCGTAATATCTCATTCGATTACGATCCCGATAATCCCCTCCGATCTCGGCTCACGTACTTCTGGTAGCCTCGAAAAAATGAAGTGTAACCCGTTTTGGGTTTTCACATATATGTTGTTGTTTTTTCGCTCTCGGTACTTTTTCTAGGGTTTGTTTCCTCACTTTTGCATTTACGACCGCCCGAACCCACGTTTGCCCCCACACCCTGTGCACATACAATGTACGATCGGGCGTTCATTATCTTTTTTGAAACATCGGCACTTTTGAAAAAGTCAAGCCAAATAAGAAAAACAAATAAAATCCATGTAAATAATGGACATCATCAGCAAAAGCGACGGCACGTAGACTGCCGACTGCCGTAGAAGTACTGAGAGAGAGTTGCGCGCACAGATACAGATGCCGAGATACAAAGATACTCGTACTCGAAGATCCACAGATACACAGACATGCCGGGACGTTTGCGCAAACGGTTGCCCAGCAAATGAAGCCAAAGGCTTAAAGTTTCCAATATGGGAGCACTGAGAGAAATATTAAGGGGTTCTATATGATTTATTTTGATTTACAAAAATAAAAAGAGATTGTTAATAAATAGGTCGATTAGCTTTAACAGATAGAATAAAGAACATAGATCTTAACCATAGAGCTATATGATTTATTTTGATTTACAAAAACGATCTACTAAGCATTAACGGAGATTGTTAATCAAATAGGTTTGGTGACTTAGCTTTTAGTGACCTAATTTCAGATAGAACTTAAAGAACACCAATTACAGATCTTCCAACCCATTTCTCTCTCTGTACCGCACATATAATAAAAAGAGCCAGAAGACCAACTACTGCTGGGAGGAAAATAAAAGATATCGAGGAGCAATTTGGCTGCCACTTTTTCCCTCCTCCTCTTCTTGGCTTTCTGGGTCCGGGATCGGTTCGTTTGCTGGGTTTTTGTGTGTAAACAACTGAGGCCAGCAGAAACCCAGGGCCCAGCGCAGAGTGAAAAGGTTTCAGTTGATAAAAAAAAAAACAGAAAAATATACAAACACACACACACAGACACACTGGGCAAACGGATTTGGTGTTTGTATAGAAAACGCAGAGAGTTGAGGAGGCGAGTTTGTCCCTCTGATGATGGCCTACGATGGCTAGAAATGTCCATGCGTCTTACTGCCCAGTACTTAGGTGTTAAAAGGGGTATATCAGGTTACTCAGGGCGAGAAGAACGATCTATCATTCCATTCGAGCGACTACGTTTTAGCTTAAAACTTAAAATATTGAATAGAGTACTGAATATCTATTGCTTTTAACATCTTTTAACGTCAAGATACACTAATCTGTTTATAGTGTATCTCGATGTTAACAGCTTACAAACCTATACAACAAGACTAAGGACATATTTACCCAGCATTCTATTCAATCAGCTCTTCTATTAATGAATCACGAGCGATCAAGCTTCTCCCATCACTTCTAGGGTACTTCTTCAGTCCATCAGTAAACCTCCTTTTCTGACCATATCTTCTGGGCCGAATGCTTGCCGGTCCCCACATGCACTTCAGTTTGCTTACAAAACACTAGCCAACAACAACAAACAAGCCAGAAGACGATGACGAAGGAAAGTGGAGTGGTGGGAGGAGTTGGTCGGAGGAGGGGAATGGGTATTACGGGTGAAGGAATGGAAAAGGGTCGCCGAGATCTGCTCTTGGCCAGGTTGTGTTTTTTAATCCCTTCGGGATACTCTTTCCTCCTCCGTGTGTATCTGCACATGTGTGTGTGTGTGTGAGGGTAGCTAATAATCAAGACGACGAATGAGAGGAGGGAAAACGCGACAGACTTATAATTATAGTCGAAGAGGAGGACGCAGTAAAAAAAGACCGAAGAGACCTGCACTTCACATGCGTTAATCTGAAAACCCTTTCGGGCCCAAGAGCAGCATCTGAGATTATAGTCGAAGCTATTAAAAATCTAGCATAATCATTGCCCATGGTGGAAAACAAGTTGGCCAGCTCTTGCTGTTTTTCGCTCCCGAGGTAGGCAGGCGATCTTCCTTCTTGGCTGCCTTGTCTATAATTTTCTTGATTAATATCCATGAGATTTACACATTTGGAGTGCTGGCCAAAACCCCGCTCCCCACTCTTCTTCCCAACCACTCGCTGTGTGCTGGCCATTAATTTAAAAGCTTTGCTAATTTCGCGGGGAAAAGCTGAGAGCGAGCCACTGCTAATGAAGTTTTATGGGTTCGGGAATGCAGCTGCAGCAGGATTGATAAGGTCGTTAGCATAAATTGAAAATGTTTTAAGTTTATGGCCAGGTATTTGTTATTATAAAAGGATGTACTGTACGGGGGATACTGTCTTAGAGATAGATTGGTGATAATATCTTTTCGGATTAGCACAAGTTCTTTCTAGAAATTGAATTATACTCGGCTTAACTTTGACTTCTCTCAAAACTAATCCCTTTGCCGTAATCCACTTTGTATGCTAAGCCGATCTGCTCATAAATTTCTTTGGCATATTGTGCTGCTCCTTCCATTCGAACTAAATCCATTCAAGAATTTCACCCCTGAATAGAGCTCTTAAGATCTTTTGTTACTGCGATTGCTACTTTTTCCAGGCAGTCTATTGTCTGATTATTTCAAAGGGGCCATTCTTATTTATTAGAAGAGTTTATGCTAATAAGTGTGGAGACTCTAAGGCTATGATTTATTAACTGAAAAGTAGTGGAAACATGGTTACTATTATCTCAAATGATTAAAAGGTAAGTTTATCCATGCCAATAGAAAAGTTATTTCCCAATCTAATCATTTTCGATCTCATCTTCAAGCCCAACCCAGAGTCTTAAATGTAAAGTTTTGATCACCTTTCCGCTGTCTGACTTCGTTAATAGAATCAAATATTCATATTCCGCAGACAACGTCTAATTTCCTCATCAAAATCAATGATCGCCGTTCCAGAACAACAATAACTGAACTGGTCTGTCAGGTGAATTATAGACACGTGCCAAAACCAGGCGTGGCCATATACCCATTCCCGTTTAAAGCCGAATATGGCAAAACCCTAACGAGCCATTGTTCCACGGCTTTATGGCCAACTAAAATTCATCGGTTATTTTGTCACGATTTTAATTAATTTCGATTTTCCTGCCAGAAGGCAATTAAAACGTTTTTCCCCTGCTGCCGGTGCAACCGAAAAGTAAAATAATAGTTGGTAACCGAAGTCGGAGAGGAAAACCCACCCAAAGAGGCAAAATGCAATAAACTTTTATGGTACTCCCATTCTTATGCTAAAAATCTTTTTGGACACAAACCGAATGGCCCATAAACCAAGACAATGAACATCCAAAATAGATCTCCACTGGGGCGAAACAAAAGCCAATAACTTTATAGAACCGCAACCAAAGAGAAAAGCCCAGACTGTGAGAGCGCGGGAGGCGTTTTACAAAAAACTTAA